TATACTCCGTACTACGTATTTGATGAAAGTATGAAGGACTAGATGGAAAAAAAATACTAAAGTATAAAAAAAGTGTCAGAGTTTTCCATTGCACTTGTGAATTAGTCTGGAGATGAAAATCCAAAAACCAGCGGGCACTCTTTCGTTGGCGTGGTCGACCAATGCTGAAACGATATCCATCACAAATACTTGAAACTCGGACCGTACAGCCAAGCGGACTAACAAGGCAATCCAAACTTCTGGAGCCAATCTCACTGCTTGTCCCATAGATTGAAAGCCCTTGGCCACCCTCATTAGCATAGCTTGTCCCTATCAAAAGGGGGAGACAGTCAGTGATAGTGATGATACAAGAAGAGTGATGAAAATTTACCTAAGAAGCAATCAGTTGTTGAACAAGAGAGGGAGACTGTTTGGCCTAAAATAGGATTCCTTGAAGATGGTTGGCGTGTTTTTTGGAATAAGCTTCAAAAAAGAGCCTATTAAGTGCTCCAGTTTGGAGCTTTTCAAAAATTCTAATAGTTGAACTTTTTTATTAAAGCATGTTTAGATATAACATATCGTGGTAAACACAAGTATGAAATATTTTGAAAAGGAGCAAACATATAGGGGTGTTTGGTAAAAATCCATTAGAAGATAGCATGTGGGAGTTAGAGCTTGTTTTCTTCAGCTTATACTTAGAAGATGGTTGGGGTTTTTTTCAGACCAGACCGGACCAAATCAGAAAAAAACTTTAAATATAACTACAATCAGACCTCAAATCCAACACAGAGAACAGGCTCTTGGGTAGCAATTTGTATTTGCAGGTTTGACAAGTGGTTAGCACTTTTATACAAAAACCTCCGCCCTAAAAACAAATTTAGTGCTTACTTCACAAGTGTAAGAAAAATGTGGTTGAAATTTGTTTATAAGAAAGAAATGTTGTGAGCCACATATTTCTCAACAGGAAAGTAAGAAAGTATGAATAAAAAAACTGATTCCCAAATATCCTAACATTCAGCTTTTAGATCCCTTAAAGGGGCTTTTATTTGACCTCATCGTATCTTTACAGAAAGTTTCCGCGTTAAAAAATCTTACAATGAATATATACCCTTCAGACTCTAACCTAAGATTGTTACTCCTCAGAGATATCAGGACATACCTCAGTTTTCAATCTATTCCTGTATTGAGGCTTCTCAGAGAAAAGATCATGAATAATTTCATCCTGAAGAAAAACATCAGCAGCGTTAATTATGTCCCTGATGAGGAATGCACGCACCCTCGAACCCTTTTCCGATAATATGAAGGTGAAAAGATCCTCAGTGGCAGAAACTACAGCACGCATGTCAAAAGACAGTTCAAGTGGGTTTGAATCGTTGTGTTGTGCTTCTCCATCTGCAGCAGCTATTTGTTGTGATATTGCTGTAACCTACATGAAAAAAAAGTAGATTTTAGCATTAATTTACTGAGATGCAAACTAAAAAAGAACCTTCATTGTTTCACAAGTCATTCAAGCTTTGTATAAAGCTTATACCTAGCATAGTTATATATCTCCACGCACAATAACTACTATTTTATAGCGAATTGAAGAACAAAAGGACATTTTGCCTAATTTCAACCATTTTGTATCCATAAAAGATTTTTATTTGTGCACATTGTCTCGAACAGAAATTTTAGGTTATATCAGGTTCTTGATCTGTAAATGATACTTCGTCCATTGCAAAATAAGGTTCCTGATTGGGTTTGTGATGCTTGATAGAAGTCAATTTCAATTCAATTTATTAAAAAATTGGTGTAGATACTTAAAAACTTTATCAAAAGTTCTTCAAAACATGAGGTGACTTGACTCTTTTATTTTGTCAAATATTCAATCAAAATATGTAAGGAAAGAAATATGGTTTGACTGTGTGAATAGTAATGTGAAGCCTTATTGGAAATATAAAAATTTATTTGATGTAAATTTATGAATATAATGTATGCAGTTATACATGGAAATGATTAAAAAAAGAGAGTAAAGGATTTCGTATATAGCACAAATAGGCATTAAACTGGAACAGATCAATAGAATGTCAGAATTTGGGAAGAACATAAATGACACAACATGAGATATTTCATCAAATAACTAAATTATTTTCAGTACACAATCCTCGAGTTTTTATTTAATCCAACAAAACATAAAAGGAAATGAAATTGTTGAATGCAACTAGAATCACGTTAGACACTAATTATCACTTTTGTGCCCTAAGCTGCTACTGGTAGTCTAGTGCTACAACATTTTCGAATTACATGCTATCAAGCAAAAATACTTAATAAAAATTGTCCTTTTTATCTCTGAAAAATGAACTTTTAACACACACATCATGGGTACGCTAGACCATGATGAGGATTACTGAACTTCTAACAGAATGTTTGATGATAAAATAGCCTAAAACAAGGTAAACAATTTAGATTTGCTCCATATCGTGTATACAATGTATTAGGGTGACACTCTCATTAAACAGGGTCTGAGCCCAAGAACAATGGCCCAATTGAGTCAAAATGCTATAACAAGACAACACATTTCTGGACACTTTGATACAAAATCAACCAAAAATAGTATGGAATATTTGGCACGTACTATTCGTTGATTGTTAGCGTAGAAATGCATGTTAAGTGATTGGTTGAAATCAGAGGAAAATATCACAGGCTTAATTGTGAAGAGGATGGAACATGTATGAAATTGCGGTTGGACTAGATTTTTTTTGAGATTCCAAAAGCCCTATGTTTGGTTCTTCTTGAGATCCTAAAACTCTATGCATAAAATTGTGCTTGTATTGTTCCATGAAAACCCCCCTTTATATAAGAACATGCACAAAATCCAATACAATGACTACTACTGCAAAAGCACATTAAGAATCTAATTAGGATGTGAGTAAATCCCAAACTAACTCAAAAAGGAGCTTACAGATACTAAAAGATATGTTCTAAATTAATAAGGATAATTCAAAATAACATACTAATTTTTTTTTAAAAAAAAACTTAAAAAAAGAGAACAACATTTTTACAAAGGAACAATGGTCTCTCTCCAAGGACTGCCGATGAAAAAATGCAAGCATGTCAGATTGTCACAAAAAAGTGTATATCAGTAACAAGTAATGACAAGGAGTCATATCCAGGCATCTATCAAGCTAATGTAAGTAACAGACTATTAAGTGTCAACTTGATAATTTAAGTAGGTAAATTACACACCAGTTTCTCCAGCCGGTTCCACCTGAGGGAACCATCATTACAGATGATAAGCTCTCTCAGTATTCTCCTCATATCAGGACTTGGGTCTGCTAAAAGCCTCCCAATAACAAATGGATATGCACTCTCCACCACTTTGAATCCAGGATCCAATGCTTTTGCTGTTCCTTCTAGTGATCCTAGAGCACGGATCACCAACGCATAGTCCGGAGGGAGAGAGAAGTTAAACTCGTACATTACATCGTATAACTGATTCATTATACCCTGAAATGATATTATGAATTTATGATGCAGGAACTGTTCAAAAAATAGCATTACTTTGTAGGACCAAGACGATGATAATAACAATAACAACAACAACAACAACAACAATACGGAGTAGTAGTAGTAGTAATAATAATCATAATAATCATAATAATCATAATAATAATAATAACAATAATAAAAACAAATAATAATAATAATAATAACAAAAAATTTCATTTTTTGTTTATTTTATTAGAGCTCGTGTCTTGTCCCCGAAAATGACTCTTTTCTACGTGCAAAGAGTCACAACAACAATAAACACAGTGAAGTCCTACAAGTGAGCTCTGGAGAGTAGGTTTGCATAGACCTTACCCTTAACTACAAAGGGTAGAGGTTGTTTCTCAAAGACCCACGACTCACAAGAATGAAGGAAATACATTAGAACAATCTCATTAATAAAAAGCAAAAATACATGGACTAAATTAAAATGGAACATTAAACTTCCCTTGCTTCTTACTTTCTAGGAAGCTTTGCACGATAAATGCATCAATGCATCTAGGGTCTATCGGAAACAGCCTCTTTGTTTTCACAAGAGTAAGGTCACGTATATCTTGCCCACGAGACCCTAACGGAGTTGGAACGATACTAGGTTGTCGTTGTATACATGAGGAAAGAAAAAATGATATTAAACACCAAACAAAGGAAATAGTAAAAGAACCCCTAACCCAAGCTACCCCGAGAAACCCAAAACACCCAGAACAAGAGGAAGACCTGCCCAAAAACCCACTTAACCTACTACTCTAACTAATACTTGATCGCCAGAACTAAGGATAAGGCAAAGAGCAACTCATCTTTAAAAATGTACTCCCACTTCCGCATATTATAGAACAAATCTGCTTTTGCGCGAATATGAAGTAAAAAAATCATATGTGATTAAATCTCTTTGTTAACCCTAGTGTGATTCATTAAGAATGTGCAAATTGGTCAGCATGTTAATTGTCAAATCAGAAAAAAGGTTAAATTTAAAAATATTGAAAGTTGTGTTTAAAAAGGGAAAGTGAGACTTAAAATGTGATGGATGTTGCTAGTGTTTGACTGTTTGTTGTCAAGAATATAGACATAAAAGGAACAGAGTTGAGGATGATATAGAACGTACTAGGTGTTATTTTACATTTTGCAAGTGCAAAAGAACAGCCTGACCTTAGCGATGCTGTAATTGATCACACACCTAGATTGGTTCAAGAACAATAATATCATGATTCAGGAGCATTCTTAGATTGAGAAATGCTGTAATTGATAATGAACCTACATTGGAAATGCCCTTGTACAAAAGACTAAAAGATGTGCTACCCATAGTTTTTGTATTATGCCAATCTAGCAGGTGTTTCAATTCATACAGAGTATGATAGGACTCTGAATAAGACTAAGCCACTGCTCACTTATCAGCGGCGCAGGAATAAGCATTTGACTTAGTCATGTTTTATGACTTGGTCATGTTTATTTATTTATTTACCTAAATATGAGTCTATCCCTTTATATTAGCAATTGAGTCAGTCAAAGTTGTTAGTCACAGTTGAAATAATTGTGGGATGATGGGATCACCATCTAAACCCAAGGAGTCAGTTTCTCTTTTCTGTTATTTCCCTTGTATTACTGCATTATTTATACCCTTAGCCAGTTCATGCTAAAGGGAGGAGTAATATTACATTTATATTTTCAGAGATTCTCTTGGGCTTCTTAGTCTCAAAAATCGAGATTCTTGATTTAAAGAGATTAGAGATTTAGAAGATTTGTTTTTGTTTTTAGTTTCGAGTTTTTGGCATCGATCATTTTGGTATCATAGACTAGATCTTGCCCAACTATGGTAAACACTCGATCTTCCGCAACTGATGGCAATCCTGATGTCGGCAACACCCTAGCACAACAGAATGATACCTTGGCCGCCATCGCTGCCCGACTGGACATTCTGGATGAGTTACGAGACAAAGTAGCAGCTTTAGAAGTCCACAACCGCAATCCAACAACAAAGAAGAAGAAGATCTATGCTGACGATTCCGGGGAGGAATCAGAATCTCATTCACGACGACACTTCCAGCCTCCGTATGCAAAAATTGAGTTTCCCAAATTCTCAGGAGGTGACCCACGTGGTTGGATTTTGAAAGCAGAGAAATATTTTCGGTACTATGAAACACCGGATGAAGAAAAGGTGGACATAGCATCAATGTATCTTGAAGGAGATGCATTGGACATGTTTTCTTGGGCTTTATCGGAACGTACGGTGTTGTACTGGGAGGAATTGGTCAAGATATTGCAAGAACAATACGGACCTCCGGAATACCAAAATCCAGATGAGTACCTCGCAGCTGTTCAACAGGTGGGAACTGTCCAAGAATACCGTGTGGAATGGGCGCGACGAGTACAAGGGTGAAAAATTGGCCCGATCACTGCCTGCTTGGGATTTTCCTGAACGGATTGAAGGAGGAATTGAGCTCTGAGGTGAGAATACACAAACCTCAGAGTGTCTATCGTGCGACAAGTTTGGCCCTAGAGATGGAGAAAAAGCTGCAGGGTACCAAAAGTACCCGACCTTGTTCAACTGCAAGTTCAGCCCGGGCCACTTACAGCACCAACTCGGGCAGGAATCAATCTGTACCTGATTCGTCAGCAAAGACCTCGACTTCGCACAATCCTACGTCGCAAAACCCAGGTTCCTCACAATCAGTCATTCCCTTTCGCTCCAATTTGTGGGATACTACTCGGCAAGAACGACGAAACAAAGGGCTCTGTTTCCGCTGTGGAGACCCATTTCGGCTAGGGCACCGTTGTACGACATCCACTTTCTCACTAATGGAAGTAGATGTGGAAGGAAATCCAATTCCGGAGACATTTGAGCCTGCTCCTGAAATGGAAGAAATCATAGAAGAGGCAGAAATTTCTTTCAATGCCATTCTTGGGACATCATCAGCGGCAACAATGAAACTACAAGGATCAATTCAAAACCGCAATGTCCTGTGTTTGGTTGATAGCGGCTCCACCCACAACTTCATCTCAGAAAGGTTGGTAAATGAATTAAATTTAGTTACCACCTCTATTCCGGTGTTGGGGGTACAGATTGGGGATGGCAGCCTTGTGCGATGTGGAAAAAAATGCAAGCCCGTAAATTTGCAGCTTCCAGGTTTGAGTATTACTCAGGATTTTTATCCATTTTCTCTCTCTGGATCTGATCTCGTGCTAGGCATCAAGTGGTTGGCTTCTCTGAACACTATTCAAGCCAACTGGAATGAAATGTTTCTGATTTTCTGGGTAGATGGGAAAAGGTATAAATTGCAGGGAATTCCCAAATCCACTAAATCCGAAGCGGCTCTGCACTCCATGATGGCTGTTGGCACTAATGNTTGCAGCTTCCAGGTTTGAGTATTACTCAGGATTTTTATCCATTTTCTCTCTCTGGATCTGATCTCGTGCTAGGCATCAAGTGGTTGGCTTCTCTGAACACTATTCAAGCCAACTGGAATGAAATGTTTCTGATTTTCTGGGTAGATGGGAAAAGGTATAAATTGCAGGGAATTCCCAAATCCACTAAATCCGAAGCGGCTCTGCACTCCATGATGGCTGTTGGCACTAATGAGTTTCCAACCAGCAGCGAAGTCATGGATTTGGAGGAATTGTATATGGAATTTGCAGCTGTCTTTTGTGAGCCTACAACACTACCACCATTCCGGGAGCACTACCATGTGATTCCTCTTCTCCCTGGATCAATTCCACCTAATTTGAGACCTTACAGGTGTCCATATTTTCAGAAAAATGAGATCGAAAGACAGGTTAATGAGTTGCTTCAGAAGGGTTTCATCCGTCACAGTTCAAGTCTGTTTGCCAGTCCGGTGCTCTTAGTAAAGAAAAAGGATGAATTCTTAGTAAAGAAAAAGGATGAAACATGGCGTATGTGTGCTGATTACAGGGAACTCAACAAACTCACCATCCCAGATAAGTATCCTATTCCCAATATTGATGAATTATTGGATGAGTTGAATGGTGCTGCTTGTTTTTCAAAAATTGACCTTCGCTCTGGCTATCACCAAATTAGAGTTTTAGAGGCCGATATTCCCAAAACGGCTTCTAGAACTCATAATGGACACTATGAATATGTCGTCATGCCATTCGGCCTTACTAATGCTCTGGCTACTTTCCAGGCAGCAATGAACGATCTTTTTAGACCTCACTTAAGAAAGTTTGTGTTGGTTTTTTTAATAATATCTTAATATATAGCAAGGATGTAGTTCAACACAGGGAGCACCTTCGCACCATTTTATCAACATTGCAACCACTAAGAGATTGGCCAGTGCCTAGCAATGCAACTGAATTATGGGGATTTCTAGAACTTACTAGATACTACCGCCGGTTCGTACAAAGTTATGGTATGATTGCTCGACCCTTGACTGATCTAACCAAGAAAAATGCTTTCTGTTGGTCTGATTCTGCCCAAAAAGCTTTTGACAAACTCAAATGGTCTTTGATTAATGCACCAGTGCTTCAACTTCCTGATTTTTCTGTTGAATTTGTGATTGAATGTGATGCTTCTATGGAAGGAATAGGCGCTATTCTTTTGCAAAAAGGTCATCCCATTGCTTTCTATAGAAAGGGTTTCTCTTTTTCAAACAGGTACAGATCTACATACGACCGGGAGTTGTTAGCTGTGGTCTTAGCCATACAACATTGGCGTCATTATGTGCTGGGACGCCACTTCACAGTTAGAACTGATCATCACAGCCTCAAGTGCCTCATGGAGCAGAAAACTCTCACTAATAGTCAGCAGCGCCTTATTCTGAAACTTCTCCCATTTGATTTCAGCATTATTTACAAACCTGGAAAAGAGAATGTAGGGGCAGATGCTTTGTCCCGGAGGCCTCAACATGCAGATTTCTTACACATGGTAATACCAGTACCTCTTGACTATCTGAATCTTGAGGAGGCATTGCAGCAAGATCCATTCACGGCACCCATCATTGAGGCTTTGAAGCGTGACGCCAAATCTAAACCAGAGTACTCCTTGATCCAGCAGAAACTTTACTACAATGGCAGGTTAGTCATTCCAAGAAGCTCGACCATCCATGCGAAGCTATTAGAGGAAGAACACATGACACCATCAGGGGGGCATGGGGGTTCTTAATTCTTAAAGACTTTAAAGAAACTATCCGATACGGTTTTTTGGCCCCAAATGAAAGCTGATGTTAAAACTTTCATTCAACAATGTTTTGTTTGCCAAAAAAGCAAATATGACACGCTTTCGCCTGCCGGGTTGTTACAACCTTTACCCATACCTCAGCAAATTTGGGAAGACATTTCAATTGATTTTGTGGTGGGATTACCAAAATCAGGACGCTATGATTCTATTTTTGTGGTTGTTGATGCTCTCAGCAAGTACTGTCACTTTATTGGTTTAGCCCATCCATACACTGCAAAAAGTGTGGCAGCCAGGTTCTGTGAAGAAATTGTAAAATTGCATAGCATGCCAAGATCAATTGTTTCAGATCGTGATCCTTTGTTTTTAAGTGCGTTTTGGAAGGAACTATTCAAATTGAGTCAGACTCGTTTGCGGATGAGCACGGATTATCACCCCCAAACAGATGGTCAAACAGAGGTGGTCAACCGTTGTCTTGAAGCTTATTTAAGGTGTTTTGCCCATGAACAACCCAAGGTATGGAGTAAGTATTTATGTTTGGCTGAATACTCTTTCAACACTAGTTATCATGTTTCCACCGGCACAACACCTTTTAAGGCAGTTTATGGGCGAGATCCACCACCACTTCATCCATTTGTCTCCGGTGAAACTCAAGTAGAAGAGTTGGCACAACAATTGCTCATGAGGGATGCGATTCTCAAATTACTCCATGATAACTTACTTAGGGCGCAGAACCGCATGAACGCATATGCGGACAAACATCGCCGGGAGTTACACTTCAATGTTGGCGAGTCAGTTTTTCTGAGAATTCAGCCCTTTAGGCAGCGTTCCTTGACCAATCAGAAGTATATGAAACTCTCTCCGCGCTTTTTTGGACCTTACAAAATATTGCGAAAGATCGGAGAGGTTGCATACGAGCTTGAATTACCTACATCAGCTAGAATCCATCCTGTTTTTCATGTGTCATTACTACGACCAGCTCATGGGCAGTCTCCCACCACTCCACCAGCGGAACTACCCATTTCACCTGACATGGAGCTACTATTAGAGCCCGAAAATGTTCTGCACACGCGCTCGAATGCTGACACAGTTGAAGTGTTAGTACAATGGAAAGGCTGACAGCCGGAAGAGGCTACCTGGGAAGATTATGATTTGGTGGCGTCACAATTTCCAGATTTTCGACTTGAGGACAAGTCTGTTTTCCAGGGAGGGAGTAATGATACGACTCTGAATAAGACTAAGCCACTGCTCACTTATCAGCGGCGCAAGAATAAGCATTTGACTTAGTCATGTTTTATGACTTGGTCATGTTTATTTATTTATTTACCTAAATATGAGTCTATCCCTTTATATTAGTAATTGAGTCAATCAAAGTTGTTAGTCATTTAAAATATCCCTTTTTATTAGTGATAGAATTTGACAAGGACGATCATGACTTCCTAAGGATGGGATATGGACAACTGGATAGGGTAATAAGACACTTGGGTTGAACCACATTAAAAGATTGAATCCAATCGATTACTTAGTTTAACTCAAGAGCTTAAATATCGAATAATTTTACCCTTGAACTTCCGATGTGGGATGCACTTTAACACTCCCCCTCAAGTGGACAACCGGGCCATTTTGAATCTAACCGGTTGACCACTTGCAAATGAACTCTCATTCCCTTGATTTTTTTTGAGCGCCAACACCTAAAGGACCACGAGCCGCTAGGTATGGACTTCCAGACGAGCAATCGTGTTAAACGGGCCACAGGCCGTTGGGTACATACTCCATACGGACAATTGGGCTAAAGACTAACGGGCCGCTAGGAATGAACGTCTAGACGGACACCCTGACAAACGAGGTGGGCCAAAACCTGCTCTGATACCATGATAGAATTTAGGATGGGATATGGACAACTGGATTGGGTAATAAGACACTTGGGTTGAACCACATTAAAATATTGAATTCAATCTTTTAATGTGATTCAGCTCAGGTGTCATATTGCCCAATCCAGTTATCCACACCCCATCCTAAATTCTATCAATTAGCAATTGAGTCACTCAAAGTTGTTAGAGTCAGTTGAAATAATTGTGGGATGATGGGATCACCATCTAAACCCAAGGAGTCAGTTTCTCTTTTCTGTTATTTCCCTTGTATTACTGCATTATTTATACCCTTAGCCAGTTTATGCTAAAGGGAGGAGTAATATTACATTTATATTTTCAGAGATTCTCTTGGGCTTCTTAGTCTCAAAAATCGAGATTCTTGATTTAAAGAGATTTAGAAAATTTGTTTTTGTTTTTAGTTTCCAGTTTTTGGTATCTATCTGAGTATTTGATATCTAGCAGAATATCTCTCCTCTACATACCTCACAATTTTCAAAAATTGGTATGGATTAAAGAAGAGTTGTTGTGATGCTTCCCTTTTTAACCTTACATATAAGGTAGTATTAGTTGGAACAATAGCCAAAAAGCATGTGGTCAAGCGGCATAACTATTGCTCTCCCAAATGGGAGGTCACATGTTTGAACCCCTATGGAGGCGTTGACTCTCTGTGCTTTAGGTTGAGAAAGAATGTATGAACAGATACTACATTGTAACAAAATCAGTACTAAAAAATGGGAACAACAAATTTATGTCACCAACCCCAGCTAATTAGGGTTAATGTGATGGTAAAGATGATAAACATTACATATAAGGAAGCATTGTCCTAAAGCTTGGATATCACATGATGTAGAGCAGGACCAATGCATTTTTCCCTAAAGTTGAAAGAAAGCAAGCAATAATAAGCTTGACTAGTTGTGGTCATTCACTACATACATATTACATTCACCGTACAGATAAGAAAATAATGACTGCAAATGCAGCATATAGTGGGTAGATATAAAAGCATAAAAGGTATGGTAGAACCTGGAAATCCTGGGATTGTCTACTCCCATCCCCAAAAGATGTTCGCAATGCGTCTGCAACTAACTGTATGTCAACCTCTTCAGGAATGAAACCAAGAGAGAGGAAATCATTTGCCAAACTCATTGAGTCGCGATTGACAAAATGCACTAGCTGCAAAATATTGGAATGTCGGTTACGAAGAAAAAATTCTATCATCATATCTCAAGATAGAATTACAATGATATATGTATATAGTATATACACGATTACACGATGTGAAAAAATTATGAGTAGGCCTAAGCCAACAAGGCTAGGGTTCCATTTAATGAGACTAAGTGTGTGAGCTGCCAGAATTCATTTTTCCAAATAGATGAAACAAGATAGTCAACAGTTCCATGTCGCTTACAATTCTTATAAGTCCAACACGGTAGTGACGTGGAATATCTCCCATCATTCCAAAATCAAAATAAGCAAGAGATCCCTCCTCAGTAGCAACAAGGTTCCCTGGATGGGGGTCAG